ATCAGCCTGGGTTCATGAATTATTTTGGAAATTAATAAGTGATAATACAACCCTCAGTACATGCTGCCACTGTCCCAGATTTGGCCAGTGGAAGCCCCGTCAAGCATCTGATCTCTGTGTCCTTTTGAAAGTAGCCCTCAAGTGTTTGAGCACTTCACTGGTGTTAGCATTAGTGGATATTCTGTTCTCACTTTGTGTTCTCTTTGCCCCAGCCCTGGAAGAAGCTATTATTCTGTGGAGACCTAGTTCCTCTGGGACTGCTATTTAGATTATGAAAGCTCCCCAGGTGATTTCAATATGCAGCCAAGAGCAAGAACCACTGGTTAGAGTCCTCTAAAGGGGGATCACCTGTTCCCGTAAGGTGTTTTCTCTTTGTCAGTCACTGTCACCCATTGTCACCTGGAATTAGTGGTACTGATTCATTACTGAGGTTTAGATTTTTGTGGGTAGTGTCACTTGGTGAGTCAGAATTATGTGCAGGTCATTGACCCCAATACCCATAGAATACAGTTCCATAGGCCTTCCCTGCATTTCAACCTCCTGACACAGGTAGATGGTCCCCAGGCCACGTCTGGAGAAAATGCCCGAAGTAACCCTGGAAACAAGATCAGGGGCTTCTCATTTTCTTTTTGACCTTTGTCAATGTTTCCTCTCTTGCAGTATGATCTCAGGATCCTGCCATGTGCCCTAGGCATGCAGCGAGGATCCATTTGATTTAGTGGGTTCCTTGAAAATCTCAAATGATTTAGACCCTTGTAGTCATACTGGTGTTCTGTCATAGGAGGTATGTGATATAAAAAAAAAAATAGGCTGTGTGCTTGTTGAAAGCTTTCAGTTGAGCCAAAGACCTTTTTCAACCACTGCATTGTTGTTATATTTTTGTGGTCATTGAATGAATCGGCCTAGTAAAGTTTTTACATGTAGACCCTAGATGGCTCTAAAATAGAGACGAGTGTGCTGTTTCTAAGGATGGGTCATAGTGCCCTTCTTAGTTTCTGTTCTGTCATTTTTAGAGAGTGTGAGTGAGTATACTTCGTTCCCTCTCCTTCCAACCAATTTTATCTCATTAAAATATCCAGCAGCAATAGCCTCAGTATCCAGCAGCTGTAAGGAAATGCTCCTGATTTGTGGTTTTTCACTTCCTGGTTTCACATTTTCACCACGTCCCACATGGCCCAGCGAGTCCTCTCTGTAGTCTCAAGACCCATAGCTGAGAGTTCTTAAGAACAGTCAGACATGGGAGGCAGTGGCTCTGGGGCTGTAAGACCTCTGGTAAAACACTCAATCTCGGTGTTTCTTCTTGTTTGTAAATAGGAGGTTCAGTATGAGGATTAAGTGGGGTCATCTATACATGGTGCTTAGCTTTGTGCCATTAGGGCTATTACTTTCAGTATTTAGACACAATAAGTGATCAATAAATGCTAGCTGGTATTGTCTTATTAAACCAAGCTGGTTCTGAATGTAAGGGCAGGAATACACGAGGCCCTAGAGCGGGAATTGGGAGTATGCTTGCCTTGCCATCCCCATGCCTATGTTTCCACCTGTGAATGCATGGTGAGGCACTGGCATTTTGTGGCCATCATACAGTGTGGCAATAAAGGAGAGACATGTCAGATACACCCTGTGAGATCTGCCTTATCCATTCATTTTTTGGCAGACCATGTAAGCACACACATTTGCACGTATATCCATAAAACTTATGTTTGTTACTTTTTGTAGTTATGTCTTAGAAGCTAAGTGGTCCTGCCTAGAAGACACAGGGACAAAGGATGGTGGCAATGACCGTCACATGAAGGAGGAAAAACATATGTTCTCTCCTCTTTCTAGTTGTTCTAATAGTGATTTGTATGGTTGGCCACGATCAGCAAATGCATTTAAATTTTCTTTCAAGACTCAGTTTATCCCATAGAAAAAAAAAGCCCAAAGTAATGTGTGAAATCTCGAGTTCATGTGGACCGGGCTCTGAGTGTGAATGTGGTAGCTCAAATTCAGGGATTCTAAACCACAGCCTTGGGCAAGTCATCCTAGTTTTTCTCCAGTTTTTACCAGCTATTAAAAGGAGATGACAATGTTGTCTATATACCTCCTCAAGGAAGGTCAAAACTGACTAGTAAACATCACTGAAATGCCAGGAGGGGGAAATACGGCAAATGACGTCCTTAAAGTCCCTCAAATTTTGTTTGGACAGAGGCAGCTGAAATGTAGTGTCTCCTGACATCAGCCACCCACCTTGAACTGGGTTTTAGATTGGGTAGATCTGGCAAGAAATCGGAATGGTGATGTGCAGAAATTGAGGCCTGGCAAAGCAGCAATCCAGGAATATGGGTGAAAATCTAAGGCTGTGTCACCCAGTGTTACAGGAAGCAGTTAAATACAGATTGCAGAGAACCTGGGACAAGACTTGAACAGAATTGGTTCATCCAGCATTAGGGGACAGCTCTGAACTCAGGCTGAGGAGATACTGCTGCTCACTAGCTTGATGTCCTTGAATAAGACATGGAACCCCGATTTTCTCACTTGCTAAATGGTTGCTCATTCTGGCTCCTCTCTTTTTCTTTCTAACTCACGTGGTTGGCAGGATGAGATTGGATGATGGATACCAGAAGTGCTTTAGAGAAGATCACAAGCTATCCCAGCGCCAAAGGGAGTAACTGTTTCTGCCTGGGGTCTGGTCAGGTGGCCTTTACCTTCGGCAGCCTCTGGATACCTCACTGCAGGGCTCACTTTTCTTGATCCTGTATGTTGGTGATGTGTTTGATTGGACTTTATGCCACCAGTGAAGCAACCTTCTTAGAGGCTTTTAAGAAATATCGATTAGTCTGACAGATGGAAACTAGTAAACGTGTCATTCTTCCTGATACCAGACAGGGCATTATAGGAATCTGATGCAGAGATTTGGTTCCAGAGAAATCTGATTATTCTGTTCCAGGTCCTGAGTCTGAGGCGTTAGTCTATCCTTGAAGAATACATCACTCTCTCTTTTGCCATTTGTGTAGCATTGGGTTAGATGCTGTTTCTTACAGAGGGTTTTGTGAAAATAGGAAATTACGTATAACTGTGTTTCATGATCTCAGCCAACACTGGGCCTTCAGATGTTATTTTCAAATAGCTTTGGTCAGGCCTGGTGACTTCTGTGGTTGTGAGTGTTAGGTTTCAGAGATGTGTCATGTTTACTTGTTCTGTGTTCAGATTTGTATGTGCAGAGTTTGCTTTTAATATAACATCTAGCAAATAAAAGCTCTTACCGATTTATAATAAGAGGTATATATATGGGGGCAGGGAAGTCACAGGGAGTAGGAGATTGGTGCCGAGATCGCCTCGTTGTCCAGACCTTCTGTGCTAGAATGAGGAGTCCGTACCTGTTATAACACAGATTGCTGAATTTGCCTCCTGTTGCATTGGAAGCCATGGAGCCACAGTGGAATTCTTTGCTCTGGAGTACCACTCTTCCCCAATCCCCCCTCCCCGCCTGTCCCACCCTGGGGAGAAGCCAGCTGGGATGGGCCCTCACTGCTTGGGAGAGCCGAGCCCTCCATGGCTCACCCTTGGCCGTCAGACAGTGCAGTCAGCAGCTGGCAGGGCCCAGGAGCTCTGCATTTGTTCTCCCTCAGGACCAGGTGGCTTGTGGTTTTGCACGAAAGTGTGGAGTGTATTTGTATAGTCACCAGAGATGTGATTAGACGAGATATTGATTCTGAACCTCAGCCCCCTTCCTTCTGTTCGACTCGGTTCTTCCCCTAGTGAGATGCAGGCAGAGAAAAATAGAACAGAGAGAACTAGGCCACTGGCTTTTGAGACATATTGATCAGTGAGCACATCCGATGTAGCAGACCTTCCCCTTTGTGTGATGTCATGCCGCGTGGGGCCTTAGTGTGGCCTGGGATCACTCCCGCAGGGATTTGCTTTCTCCGGGAAAGGACTAGAAAAGGAAAAGAATCACTGTAGGCAGTATCCAAAAAGAATGGCAGCATTTCTAAATGTGTTTCCTTGAGGTCGTTGATCGCTTTGGTTTTCTAGGCCATGTGGTGGCAGGAGGGAACAATATGAGGTGGTGAGCCTTGAGCAACAAACTTCGGAGCAATGCTGGTCTCACTTCTCTGCTATCCACCTCTCCCTGGCTTGGGCCGCCACTGCCGTCTCCGTCTGTCCCCCTACCCCACCCTATCGTACATACCACATGCATGTTCTTTCTGCCCACAGGGCATGTCTGTGGTGTGGACAGTTGTTTCTGTACCTGAACCAGCTCTAAGCCTGGGCCTCGCAGTTGGGGTCCTCAGGATGAGCGAGATGCTGGAACCTTCAGTGTCCTCCGGTCAAGTGAAGTGTGGTCCTGGCTTTTATCTTGATTTGCCTGGGTTGGCTCTGTGTGAGCAGCCAGGGATCCTGCTAATGGGTCCCCTGGGACAGAAGGGAGTGGACCGAAGTGGATCTGTTGAACCCCTGTGGGGCATTTGAAATGGCACCAAGGGCGGGCTGAAATCTAACTAGCCTTTGCTTATCAGGCCTGAGTTCCAGCATGTTGAAAGGGTGCTGATTAGTAAGAAAAAGGCCAGGCTACTTTATCTTTTCCTTTGCACATTTGGGGAAAATTTCCTCTGCCTTGCTAGCATTAGAAGCAGACCATTCTTTTTATTCTACATCACATCAGCTTTCATTAAAAGTCAACAGCAGCAAAATACAAAGCCCCATCCGTGGAAAAGCGTTTAAGGCAACACTGTGCTCCAGCGCTTCAGGGGTGGGGTTTTTGCCTTCTGCACCAACGGATCGGTTTCTCATATCCATGCCTTTCTGACCCAGCAGCTTTTAAAAGACCAAGAAGCATTGCTCTGCTTTCTACTGCCTCTCTCTCTGAGACCAGGGCTGCCGTGCCTCTAGCCATGTCCCAGAGAGCATATTTGAGACAAGTCAGCTTAATTTGCCTGCATGCCTAGGAAGCCTCTCTTTAAAAATCTAATTTTGAGACAAGAGCTGTATCTAAATATTTTGCTTTTCCCATCCAGGCGAGCGACGGAGGCGCCGTTGCCAGGTGGCATTCAGCTACCTGCCCCAGAATGACGATGAGCTTGAGCTGAAAGTCGGCGACATCATAGAGGTGGTAGGAGAGGTAAGTGTGCCAGGTAGGTGGGCGGGTGATCTCCTATGGGCTGTCAGGACCCACCCCTGGTTGACCTTGCTGTGGCGGATGCTAGAGCTTAACAAGACCTTACAGGCTATGAGGTTGAGTCTCTTCTCAAAGGAAAGGATTCCCAGAGAGGAATGCTGCCAAGCCCACGAGGAGCAGGTGTGGGCCATTTGAAATTATGGTCTTTCTCACATGGTGTGCTCGGTGCTTCTGGGTTTCCAGTCCACTGCCACAGCTTTTTCTCCTCTGCTTCAATTGCTAGTAGACTCTGGCTATCCAGAGTGACCCTGAGCCATCTCTAGAGGGTGAATTTGGTTTTCATCCTGGGGGACACTGGATTCAAAGGGAAGGAAAAGAAGTGACTCTTATAGAAGACTGGTATGTGATAGGCATGACAAGGTTCTTTATACATGAGCCCATTGGATGGCCTATCGCTTGTGGATGAGAAAAGAGGCTAAAGAGACCCTAGAAGAGTTAAGGCTGAGGGTTGGAGCCAGGTCCACCTGGCTGGAGACCCTGTTCTCTCCACTGCACCACATTCTCTTATTCCTGCTTGGTCCTGGCTCCCCACACACTGGCACAGGCTTCTCAGGCTCCACTCTCCCACTCTGGGCAATCCTGGAATTCAGATCTGGAACCTGATCATTCATTCTGATTCAACACATGTACCTCTCTATAGAAATACAGTTCTCTGGTAGCTTTGGTTTCATGAGTACCATTTGACCTTATAGAAACCCATGGTTTACAAAAAATAAAAAATAAAAAGGAAGCTAGAAGTCAAGGAGGAGATTAAGTGAACTGTGATGTGGGTCCAAGTAGCAGGGCTGATGCTAGCCACCAGATTCCCTGATGCCCCTACAAACATAAAATGAGCATGCATCAAAGCCTTATTTAACCCGTTAACAAGGGGATGTGCAAGATGGTATGGCTGGCTCAAAGAGAATTGTGGAAGAGCAAAATATTTATAACTAAAAAGGAAAATACTTGATTAAGATTGCTAAGTCAGGGCACCTGGGTGGCTTAGTGGTTGAACGTCTGCCTTTGGCTCAGGTCGTGATCCCAGGGTCCTGGGATCAAGTCCCGCAATGGGCTCCCTGTGGGGAGCCTGCTTTCCCCTCTGCCTATGTCTCTGCCTCTCTCTCTCTCTCTCTCTCTCTCTGTGTGTGTGTGTGTGTGTGTGTGTCTTTCATGAATAATAAATAAAACCTTTTTTTAAAAAAAGATTGCTAAGTCAGATGTAAAACTACACAGTATCCTACAGGGCAATAAACTGTAACCTTTGAGATTGTCTCTTCTAGGGAATAAGGCACTTGCATCTCTGGCAGTCAAGATTCATTTTTATTGCTATCTGAACAGAATCATTCTCATCGCTCTTGGTTCTGCCAGTTAACATACACACTAAAGGAATCATAAATAGTGAATAGGGTGTCAAACAAAGATATGTATCTCTAAAGAATCAGTTATTGGGACTCCCATTGGCACTGGGAGGGCACAAAGTAACCTCTATCGCCTATTTCTCAGTTTTGGAGAATTTGTATTGACATGCCATTCATTCATCATTTTTTTGAGAGAGAGAGAGTACATGTGCGAGTGGGGGGGAGGGGCAGAGGGAGAGAGAATCTTAGGCAGGCTCCATGCCCAAAGTGGAGCCTGACTAGGTGCTTGGTCTTACAACCCTGAGATCATGACTTGAGTTGAAATCAAGAGTTGGACACTTAACCAACTGAGCCACACAAACACTCCTCATTCATCATTTTTTTTTTTATCCCTGTTGCCAAGCAGGACACATAGGAGACATTTGTTGAAAGTTGAATAAATGAAACATGAACAGACAACAGTGTAGAACATTTATGCCAGGGGTAGAAGGACAAATTTCTTTTTTTTTAAGATTTTATTTATTTATTCATGAGAGACACAGAGAGAGAGAGGCAGAGACACAGGCAGAAGGAGAAGCAGATTCCTTGCAGGGAGCCTGATTTGGGACTCAATCCAGATCCTGGGATCACGCCCTGAGCCGAAGGCAGACATTCAACTGCTGAGCGACTCAGGCTTCCCAGAAGGACAAATTTCTTAAGACTGAATCCGTGGGAGAAATTCCAAAGGGAATAATAAACAGTATGACTAATAATTTAAAAAAAAGTTAAAATTTTGGTATAATTTGAAGCAAGTTTAGCTAAAAAAAAACAAAAACAACAACAACAAAAAAACCAAACTCAGAGAACAACAAATAAACGTTTTGCAATAGATCATGAAAAGTTATTATATATATCACATATGAAAATATATTAGGAAGATACTGTAACAATGATAAGTGGTAGATAAATCTGTCATAAATACAAGTCCCACAAGGAGAAAGAAAAACCTTTACCATGAAGAAATGTTCCACACTGCTATTAATTAAATAAATGTAAATTAAGAGGATAACGGCTCCTGCTTTTGAGAATCCTAAGAAAACATTTTGTGGTAAGACTGTTGGTAATACCGAGAAGTGGTAACTTTGTATATCTTTATGATCCTAATATGCAGCTATTTAGCAGGGTATGGCAAGAGCTGTACAAATCTGAATTAACATCCTGTGAGCCAGTAAGCTCACTCCCAGGAATTTATCCAAAGAAAATGGTTAACAGAAAAAGAATATGTGAATTGAGTTAATTGCTTGTGATAATGAAAAATAATCAAGAGAGAGAATAGTTATGTGAATTAAGTGATATTATCCAGCTAGAAGATCGTGAAGACATTAAGATGGTAAACCCAGAGGTCTTTAAATCTATATTTATTACAATAATGTGCAAGGTAATTTTCTGTTAAATTCTGCTAACCAGAGAGCTTTTCAACAGCGGGATCTTGTCTTGATCTATCTTTACATACGTGGTACCTGAAAGAGTGCCTGAAACCTAGTATGTACTTTAATAAATGCTTGCTGAATAAGTAAATGAATAAATGGAAGTCTGAAAAGATTTTTTTTTTTTGCAAAATAAATGAACGATCAGGACACAAAATTGCATACATTAGGACATAGCCATGTAAAATATATCTCCGCACATGTGATTAAAGACTGAAAGGGAACAAGAATTAAAACTGGTTGTGTCACAGAAGACAGTTTTTCCTTTAATGTTGTAATAATGTTTTATGTAATACAAATCAAAATAAGGAAGATTATTAACACATTTCTGGGAGATAGTGCCTGCCCTTGCCTGCCTGTTGGCTGTAGAGAAAGCAGGCATGGATCGCTGCAGGAGAGGAGGGATTGCAGGTATTATTCTTCTCTCAGTGATGATGTAGGACGTCCCTGCCACCTGCAGGACCAGCGTCCTGTTCACTCACCACCAGTTCCATGCTAGATTTCATGATGGACTTGCTTCACAGAGGAAAAAGGAAAGATATGTAGCCTCAGATATTTATGTAAAACAAAATGTAAAGGTTGGCCTTTTAAACCATATTAAAAAATTACATTATCAAAAAATGAATTTTCCCATTATGGCAATTTACTTGTAATATTGCAGATACTTGGCCATAATGTAAAATATGCCTTTTTATAATGGATGTATAAATGCCAGTGGATATTTTCTCATTCCACTGGAAATTAATTAACATCCCAAATCAATAAAAACTCTTCAGTCATGGGACAGATTGAGGTAAGACCATAGTATTAGCTTTGCAAGACTATGAAATCAATCAGTCTATCGGGCAATAAAAGTATAATAGGTGATGTTGTGTATGTGTGTATAAATATGTTATATTTTTATTGAGTGATTAATAGATTGATCCTACAGTATCCCAAAGCTATACACCCACACAAATGCACACACACCCCTTTCCCTAAAGGAGCAAAAAACCCCAGACAACTCTTCAGAGGATTTTGGGGGTATGGACTGGTTTGTTGAAAAAGGTTGAATCAAGTAGAGGATCAATCGTAGGGCAGCCCTGGTGGTGCAGCGGTTTGGCACCGCCTGCGGCCCGGGGTTTGATCCTGGGGACCCTGGATTGAGTCCCACGTCAGGCTCCCTGCGTGGAGCCTGCTTCTCCCTCTGCCTGTGCCTCTGCCCCCCTCTCTCTCTCTGTGTCTCTATGAATGGATAAATAAAAAATCTTAAAAAAAAAGAATCAATCGTAAAACATATTTTGTATATATTAATTTAATTAGATATATATCTTATTTAATTAAGACAATTTTATTAAGATACTATGTATCCTAAAAAAAGATAATATATATCCTATTTAATTCTGCCATAAAATATGAAAATGTGCATTCATTTGCCATTTGTCACCATAAGTTCATAGAGTCAAGGTGTTCTTCTTAAATGCAGGTTTGCTGGTTTGAGTTATGTCCTCTCTGCCTCCATGTTGCCTCCTTCATGATTTCCATCACTTTTTAAAAAAATGGATTGACAACAACACAAGGGAAGCAATCACAGTACCCATTCCTTCTAAATAAAGTTCTACTGTCCACTGCCCCCAGTGTCTTCTGGTTGTCTCATCCACACCTAATTTGGCAGCAGGTTTTTTTTCCTTTTTTTTAACGTTCACGTCGTTCACCATTATCCTTTCTCACCACTGACTTTCTCTTCACACTTACATATTTTTTGAGCTCTGTGACCACATGGTGGTCTCACAGAGCAGTGGGCTTACATGGATTTGGGTAGACATAGCCCAACCCTTATCTGGCCTGAATTGGCTGCTAGCCTGGAGAGCTCACCCCAGAGGGGCCCATGCAGATCGCTCAGAGAAGGAATGGGGAATGCAGGGCTGTCAGGGCTCAGGGCACCTGACAAAGTTACCTTCCTCTAAACAGCATTTAGCATGCTTCTGCCTACTGGCTAGAGATAGTGCCTCTACTCTCATCATTAGGTTCATATTTGCAAACCTAAAGGAACCAGGCTACCAGTTTGAAAGAAAAAATTGCAGACTGAGTTCTTAGATTTTTTTTTAAAGAAATCACTGTAAATATACACTTGTGCCGCTTTTGTCCAGAGTGGAAAAGA